TGAGATTGTAAACTTAGGAGTTCCATGAAATTTACAATCGAAATTGTGAATTCAATTTTTTTAAAAATTACGTGGCAAAAAATGAAATTTGATGAAATTATCCTAACTACATAAAAGAGGTAGTTTTTTTCTGCCAAGTGTCGAGCTCTAGCCATCCTTTCCAAAACGACGTCGTTTTTCCTAAAAAAAAATCCTATTGCCCACCGCCTTCTTCTCACCTTATCGGGAACCGTTTGAATCTCCTTCCCTTGTCCTAATTCCTTTGCCCTCTCCAATCGTTTGCGAAATTCAGACAACAACGACCTTCTTCATCTCGATTCCCGGCCGCAATAGTTTCCCACCCTTCTCCAATAACCCATAAGATTCCATAAGGATTGTACTCAAATCACCGCCTGCCTTTCACCTTCCTCTGTCAACAAAAGCTGACGCCCGAGTTGATTCCGCCGAAGGTATTTATTATTTTCTCTCTGTTAATCCTCTCTTGTCTTGGATGTTCCGGTTTTTCCTTTCATTTCCCACTCTTGACACGAGAAACCATGTCTTTTACTCTCTTCAGAAGCTAAAATTCCCCCTCGTGTCTATATTTTGAGTTCCGACCGCCACGAAATCAATGGAGACGCCAGACTTAGCAGCGACACTGTTGCGAAAATGGGGGGTTTTCACGGAGACACGGACTGTGTCTCTGTCGGGAATGGAGACACGCACCGTGTCTCCGTGCTGTGTTCCCGAAACAACCACAATCAATCCTCTATGTGGATGCCATCCTTCAAGATTTTTAGAGATACAAACAAATCTTGATACACACTCACAGTAATCAGTGAAGAACCCAAAATACAGTTAATAAGAATTTCATAGAGGAGATGCCTCGGAGGATATTATCAGGGTCGTTCGACTCTCCGAAGTTGGACATCATTGTCGGTTTGGGAAATCCCTTTCTCAATCTCACTGTTGATGGTTTTTTGAAGATTGGCACTGTAAATTCTCTTGCTCTCTTCGTCGTATTGGATTAGATTTGATTGGATTGAATTGAAGTGAATGATTTTTATTTAATTTTCTTTGGGTATCAGAATATTTTATTGAAATTTGGTTATTAATTGTTTTCCCTTTTTCGTTTGTTGATTGAGGTGGCTGCAGCAAAAGTGGCTATGGAGGAAGCATATTTCGTTGTCAAACGAGGTTTCCCATTTTTATTTTTCTCCCACCAAGTTGTTGAATCTTTCCCCAATTAATTATGAATATTTAATTTTGATTGTTGAAAAAATTTGATCAACAAAATAAGCTTGTTTAGCATGGCTTTTAGGATGAAATTTTGAAATCTTGTGCATACTACTGTCAGATTATGTCCTTGGAAAGGCATCATGCGGACCTGCTTATTGGTAGTTGCTCAGGATATCGAACTCCAATTGTTCATTACTGGATAATGTAAACAGTATTAGGAGTAATTTTGGGCTTGAATACAGAGCATTAAATACTTGGATACGAATTGATGAAAATTAAGATTTAGTCTCTAGATAAATACCTAGGTAGTTGTATAATGCTAATCTTGGTTTTAAATGAGAAATTGTTATTGGGACTGCAAATTCCAATTCTGGATAAAATAACTTCTTCTTGTGTGTAAGTATATATGCATATATCTTGTTAATCAGGTTAGGACATCTAATGTCGGAAAGTGAAGGAAGAAATATATGGCTAAATTAAAGGATTAATAGCTTCAAGGTAACTCCTAGCATCACCTTGAAAAGGAAATACTTCTGGAAGGGGAAATTAAGTAATGGAGAATTTATGGCATCTCTAGATAAATATCAATTTATTTATGTAGAATTTTTTTAAATTGTGTTTTGTGGTTCTTTTTTACATAATTGTTGCGTTAATTTTACAGGGAGTGTTTCACCCCACAACTTGGAGCATTCAGTGAGAAATTTATCGTGTGAAATCTGTTCATTCCATATGATTATGTCCTTGTTGAGAGAGTACTAAAAGTGAATAATCACACGACTGCTTGCTTTTGTAATAGTGCAAAGTGATCAGAGCATGTTGGCTAAGCTTTAAAGTTCAAGTAGCTTTTATTATTTAAAAATAAAAAAGAAGTAATATATCCACATATGTGTTTGGAAATAAAAAAGTTATTTAAAAATAGCTTTTACTTATTTTAAGCTTAGCCAAACATGAAAAAGACTTTCATTAGATGACACGAGAACGATTATGGCTAATCATCATACAATAGCTTTGACGCTTGTCTATATTTCTGGGAGCATTTCGTAAGGTTATCCCTCAAATTCGTAAGATTAAAGGAAAAATACCAAACTTTTAACAAATTACCTTATATTAACACATTGCTTTTAGTATATATTACCAAGGATGAACTAATATTATGCACTCTTAACAAATTTTGCATCGATATGTCTATTTCATCTGATCAATCCATTCCAATAGCCTTCTCAAATATGCGTTAAGATAAGAGCCAACTGTCAGATGTGATACTAGGAAAATGGCCTGGGGACTTCTCATTTCTAGCTTTAGAAGTTTTTATTATTATCTGTTGCAAGTAAATGAAACGCTGGTT